GGCCGAATATCCGCTTTTCATGATACTTTGTCCCTTTCATTTAACGCGCCTTCCATATTTGTTCAACATACGAAACAATCAAGATAATCACCTTGACTAAAAATAGTCTTGTAACAACTGGAAGGCGCGTTAAATGAAAAATGAATAATTAATGACTACGGAAATAAATACATTTTGACAATTCCTAAAGTAGAGTTTAATTGCCTGAAATGTTCAATCGATTCAATAAAAATGATCAAACAATGGTTTTGAATGAAATTTAGATCACACTTTATAAAGTGTTTTTGAAGCTTGAAATGAGTAGTTTCTTGTTGATATGTATTAATTATTATTTAGCTCAGTGATTGTTTGAACTTAGTTGAGAGATATTCTCAATGAATATAATTTAGATTGGCTACACAAAGGATAGGATTACAAATGAATCCGATCTCAATTCAAAAGGACCTCTTGATAATGGTTTACATCGTCGTCTTTTAGTACAAATAAGGCAAATGAGGCAGGAAATAGCAGAGAGAGTGATTATGATTTACATGACTAAAATGGCATCAACGATTTATGAGATTACCATATCGACAAACTAACACACACAAGCACAGAGCAATCAGGGACTTGGGCTATTATTTAAGACGCTAAATTAAACAATCATTGACCGGTGTACCTGTAATAATTTCAGTTTTTGAGCTTTCTCAACTTGCATCCGAAAAGCAGAACTGCAGAATTTTATCGAAAGGCTTTCTTTTGTTTAATTACTATAGATTTTTATTTCACACGAACAATGGTTGTGAGCGAATTCGTTAATATTTGTAAGATTGCGCTTAAAATTGATACTTATTTCAAACAACAAATCACTAAAAATGAGCAAGTTAAGCTAATCTGATTTCATTTAGGACAGGCGACACCATTGCGTATTATTATCAGTTTAACAATGAATTTCCAGCTTAAAATACTGACTATAAATTTTCATTGCGATCGTCTGATAAGTTTCAAGTTCCATAATGTTGGTAAAGCAAAAGCTAAATCAAAGAAATTAAATCCCTTTCAATTTTCGTTTTCTCCAAGTTTTGTTATAATTTTCTCATCTGTTCTCTCAATAAAATCATATAACTATGTCAAGATTTTTGCCTTTTCCATATTTTCTCTATTTAAAGTTGCTTGTTTTCAATTTAATATTCAAATCTATTTCAATTTTCAATTAGTATTAATAAGTTAACTCTTGTTACCTGTGAAGAAAAAGATTGTTACAAAAATGCAATTCTTCATGTTAACTGTCTGCCTTTTTGGAACTGTATTTGCTAAGAGTCCTTCTACAGAATGGACACCGCTCCCTGTTGATGATCCAACTGTTATAAAGTTAGCTAAACAAGCCGTTGCTGATGTCAACTCACAGGAAAAGTTTACTTACAATAAACTGATCGTGATTACAGAAGCTAAATCTGTAGTCGATGACGGAGTTACTTATATGCTTAAAATGATCATACAAAAAACTTATTGTCCCTTATCTAAACCGTACCATGATGATTGTGAAATCAACCAAGGTGTAAGTTTTAACATCATCTGAAATATTTAAACACAATGACCAAACTATTGAGATTTGTTATTCATTCATTTTCCTATTCACAGTTACCTGGTAGCACATGCATCGTCGATGCACATAAACCTGTTGGTTCTGAAGAAATCAAGATCGGGCGTTTACAATGTGATGAAATTCCTCAACCCCCCAGTTAAAGAAAAATTGCTACACTAAATTGCGTCTCATGCACATCGAGATACGTATCGAATAAAAACGGCAGAGTCATGCGTTTTTTGCGTTTAAAGCAATAGTTGCATTCATCAATGTCACGTTAAATTACGTTGTGAAACAATTCATAAGCCTGTAAAATGATTTGTCCAATTTTTCTTTGTAATGTGATTGAAGTACATGGAAAAGGCGAAATTTGCGATTTAAGATTAGCAGATTTCAGAACAACTTCGTTAGCATTGTAAATGAGTTGATCTGAATAAACCCGTTTTTTGATAATTTCAATTCGATTAATTAACATTAATAAATTATATTCATTGAGAATATCTTTTAAATAAGTTCAAATAATCAACAAGCTAAATAATAATTAATCCGCATAATGCTGGCTATAGCCTGATGCAGGGGATTCTCGAAAAACTAAGGAGGTCGCCTGTTATACGAGTGGTCGCATTTTTGTCGACAAGCTAAGCTTCAGCTCCTAAACAAATCAAATTATTCAAATGAAAATTTCACTAAAGACTCTAAAATTGAATGGGCTTGCCATTGACAAATGATTACATGAGTTCGAGGTCACAGGAAAAAGTTTATGCTGCTTGCTCAATTGAAAACAGGGGCTCAAAATATAAACTTTTTTCTGTGACCTCAGACGAATCCAATCTTTCGTCAGTCAATGCAGCTGATTATCAGTTAGTTAATACAGTTAAATATATTTATACGAATTTTCAGCACTCTATCATATTTTTTCACAAGACATCTATGAAAAAATCTTTAAACTTCAGAGCGCGATTAGGACACTCTAAAGAACTTTTGATGAGACCTGACATACTCTTTTGCTGTCTTCTATCATGAAAATATGTTTTTTTAAAAAAATGTGAAAAGTGAAAAATTGAAAAAGGATCAGATTTACCCACAAAATTAATTTATTAATAAGAAGAAGCAAGTTGAAAATTCACAGTTAATTTGATGTTTGATTTCAATTTTTTCGCCCTACAATCGCCTTCTGATTGTGAACTGGAAAAATTAATCTCAAATGGAAGCTGAAATCATTCCGTGAAGTCTCTTATCACTTTGCTCTTTAACACTGATATTTTTTCTGAGTAAAAGTATTGATACTTTGCCTGTCGATAATACTCCATATCAAGAAATTCGATGAAATAAAATTTGATAGAATTATCAGGCAATCAACAAAATAGGGAAAAATTGAGCTTTCAGTTGTCTCTAGAAACTCTTGTGACTCACAAACCAGATCTATGCTTTAATTGAACTCATTAAATACTTGATACCTGCATGGTTCCGATAGTGACTCCTTTTAATATCGCGAAAAACTAATAGAAACAGCTGTAAAAGGCTTGTTGACTTATTAAAAAAGTGTAAACTTAATTAATCGAATTGAAATTATCAAAGAACAAGTTTATTCAGATCAACTCAATGAAAATGATTACGAATTCGTCTTGAATCTGCTAATTTTAAATTGCAAATTTCGCTTTTTCCATATCATGTAATTCAAGAACATGTACCAAGAAAATTTGGACAAATCATTTTTGTCGCAGATTAAATTTCACCACAGAGGAACTTATAGATCTTGTTTTCTTCAGAACCAGCACGTACATATGCATCGATGGTGCATAGTTTAGGAGGTTCCTATGAACAAGAAAATGAATGAATATCAAATCTCAATAGTTTGGTCATTGTGGTTAAATGTATTTTAAATGATGTTAGAACTTACATCTTGGTTGATTTGACAAGCATCAGTGTACGGTTTAGACTTGGGACAATCAGTTATTCGTATGACCAATTTAAGCTCATATTCAACTTTATCGGCAACTCTAGATTTAGCTTCTTTAATCTGGATCAATTTATTGTAATACAAACTATTGTCCTGTGCGTTGATATAAGCAACGGCTTGGTCAGCTAACGTTATAACAGTTGGATCATCAACAGGGAGCGGTGTCCATTCTATTGGAGGACTCGTGGCAAATAGAGCTCCAAAAAGGCAAACAGATAAGATTAAGAATTTCATTTTCGAAACAATCTCTTTCTTCACAGGTAACAAGAGTTGGTTTACTAGTTGAAAGATGAAATAGATTTGAATATTAAATTGAAAACAAGCCACTTCAGAGGAAAAATAGAAAATGAAAAGATCTTGACATTAGTTATCCGATTTAATTGAGAAAACAGATGATAAAATTGTAACCAAACTTGGAGAAAACGAAAAATTGAAATGAAAGGATTAAATTTCTTGTATTTAGATTTTGCTTAACCAACATTATGAAACTTGAGACTTATTAACGGTTAGAAGACGGCAATCAGACGATCGCAAGTGAAATTTAAAGTCACTGACAATTGTGAGAAATTGGTGTCAAATTAAATCAGACTAGCTTAATATCCTCATTGTCAGTGATTTGCTGTTTAAAATAAGTATCAATCTTCAAATCAGATGTTCCAAATACTAAATTAATAAATTTGCTCACAACAATTGTCCAAGTGTGATAAAAATCTGTTTGAATTAATCAAAAGAAAGCCTGATGAAATTCTTGCTTTTCAGATGCAAGTCGAGGAAGCTGGAAAACTGAAATTATTACTACTAAACCGACTAATCATTGTTTAATCTAGCATCTCAATAGTTAGTCCATGTTCCTACTTGCGAACTGCTCTGTGCTTTTAAATGTGTCCGTTTCGCTAACAAGAATTGTCCCATAATGTCCCCGGTATGATAATTCCAGCAATCGTTGGTGTTATTTTTGTGATGCTAATCATAATCACTCTCTCTCTGCTATTGCCTGCCTTATTTGTACTAGAAGACGTCGATTTAAATCATTATTTCATTAACGCTTACGCATTTGTTTTGAAATCTGCTAATCTTCAATCGCAAATTTCGCCTTTCCAGACAATGTACTTCAATCACATTTTCAAAAAAAATCGGACGAATTATTTTTCATTCTTATGAATTGTTTCACAACGTAATATAACGATTTTAATTTATTGAATGAAATGTCTAAGCAGACATTGATAAATGAAATTATTGCGTTAAACGCAAAAAAAACGCATGAGTCTGGCGTTTTTGTTTGATGCGTATCTCGATGGCCATTTGACGCAATTTAGTGTAGCAATTTTTCTTTAACTGGGGGGTAGAGGAATTTCATCACATTGTAAACGCCCGATCTTGATTTCTTCAGACCCAACAGGTTTATGTGCATCGACGCTGCATATGCGACCAGGTAACTGTGAACAAGAAAATGAATGAATAACAAACCTCAATAGTTTGGTCATTGTGTTTAAATTTGCTTTAAATGATGTTAAAACTTACTTCTCTTATTTCACAATCATCATGGTATGGTTTAGATATGGGACAATAAGTTGATCGTATGATAAATTTAAGCATATAAGTAACTCCATCATCGACTACAGATTTAGGTTCTTGAATCTCGATCAGTTTATTGTAATTAAACTTTTCCTGTGAGTTGACATTAGCAACGGCTTGTTTAGCTAACTTTATAACAGTTGGATCATCAACAGGGAGCGGTGTCCATTCTGTAGAAGGACTCTTAGCAAATACAGTTCCAAAAAGGCAGACAGTTAACATGAAGAATTTCATTTTTGAAACAATCTTTTTCTTCACAGGTAACAATAGTTGGTTTACTAATTGAAAGTTTAAATAGGTTTGAATATTGAATTGAAAACAAGCTACTTTAAATAGAAGAAAAATCGAAAAGGAAAAGATCTTGACATTAGTTATCGACGTGATTGCTAGTCGATTTCATTGAGAAAACAGATGATAAAATTATAACCAAACTTGTAGAAAACGAAAAATTGAAATGAAAGGATAAAATTTCTTTATTTTAGATTTTGCTTACCAACATTATGAAACTTGAAACTTATCAGAAGACGACAATCAGACAACCGCAATAGGAATTTATAGTCAGTATTTTAAGCTGGAAATTCGTTTTTCCCTTTTCAGAAGATTCATTGTTTAACTGACGATTGTAAGCAATGGTGTCAATTTAAATCAGACTAGCTCAATATCCTCATTCTCAGTATCAATCTTCAAATCAGATCTTGTAAATAATAAATTAATAAATTTGTTCACAATCATTGTCCAAGTTCGTAAAAATCTGTTTAAATTAGTCAAAAGAAAGCTTTTCAGATGCAAGTCGAGGAAGCTCTTGTCAGTGATTTGCTGTTTGAAATAAGTATCAATTTTAAGCGCAATCTTTAAAATATTTACGAATTTGCTCACAAATATTGCTCGAGTGAAATAAAAATCTGTTCAAGTTTAAACAAAAGAAAGCCTTTTGATAAAACTTTTGCTTTTCAGACATTAGCCACTCAACAGTTCAGCTTTTCGGTTGCAAGTTGAGGAAGCTCAAAAACTGAAATCATTGCAGATAGACCGGCCAATCATTGTTTAATTTAGCCTCCTAATTGTTAGTCCATGTGCCTACTTTAGGATTAGTCTGAGCTTGAGCTGAGAATGTGACCGTTTAGCTTAGAAGCGCTGTTTCATAATGTTCGTCAATATGGTAAGCATATGGTTTACGTATTATATAATAACCGTTAGTTCATTTAACTTCAAACATTGCGCCTTTGAACACCTTTGCTTCAGGCAGAATTTTGATGGATTTTAGTGCAGAGGATCCTCGAAAAACGCAGTTGCCTGTTATACGCGTGGTCGCATTTTTGTCGACAAGCTAAGCTTCAGCTCCTAAACAAATCAAATTATTCGAATGAAAATTTCACTAAAGACTTTAAAATTGAATGGACTTGCCACCGACAAATGATTACATGAGTCCGAGGTCACAGGAAAAAGTTTATGCTGCTTGCTCAATTGAAAACAGGGGTCAAAATATAAACTTTTTTCTGTGACCTCAGACGAATCCAATCTTTCGTCAGTCAATGCAGCTGATTATCAGTTAATGTACTTAATATATTTATACGGATTTTCAGCACTCTATCATATTTTTCATAAGATATCTATGAAAAATCTTTAAACTTCAGAGCGCGATTAGTCTCTTATTATTTTGCTCTTTAATTTTACTGATATTTTTTCTGAGTAAAAGTATCGATACTTTACCTGTCAGTAGTAAAGGGTATCTAACGCCACGAAAAGGTGGAGCCTATTTTAAGAGGAAAGGGGGGAAAATGCGCAAACAACCGATTTTGGAAGTTAAGGTTAAGGGTAAACCTCAACTCAAACAAGTTTAATTATCATTATTTTTTTACATTTTTTACATTTTTAATCTTTATTATTATCATTATCATTATTTTTATTATTATCAATTAAAGTCTATAGAGACTTAAACCTTTTACATTTAATGATTTCAAAAGAGTCATTTACTCTTTTGAAAGTCATAGTAAAAGGGTATGGTGAACTGATATGAGGAGGATCATCAGCCACCAAAGAATCAAAATCAAGCCGCCTGGGACGGAACGGAGTCATCAGAGGTGTTGGTGTTGCTGTGATTGCTGCAGAGGAAGGTAGAGAGGAGGTGATGGTTTCCCAACCAGAGCTGCCTGTGGATTCTATCCGGATCTCAGAATCATCGGATGCTATGATGGAGTTAGTGATGGAGGTTGAGGAAATCTCAATGGCTGAGTCAACCCCACCAATGGTTTCCTCTTCTTCCACGTTTGGTTGAGGTCTATATTTAAGGACCAAACCATCAATGGTTCCAACCATCTGAACAAATGAGGAAGCCCAATCCTGTTGGATCGAAAGCCCAGCCTGGAGCTTCCTCAAGAGACCAACCACCTCATTCAAGGGAACAGCACCATTCAAATGCTCTGAGTCGAGCAATGCCTCTCTCGTCTGCTGGCTGATGGATCGAAGGGCCACAGTCTCAGCACATCGATGAAGAGGGATGAATGATGATGAAGATTCATCAGAGACGGACATTGAAGCATATCGACAGGAGATACCAGAGCAGCAGAAGCAGGAGAAGGCAGCGGAGTGCGAGCTGGAGAAGCCAGAGGAGTTAAAGTAGCGACAGGCAGGGGCAGAGGATGGTCCATGCTCGACCCATGATTGTTTGATAGGTTTCATATCTCACGCTTTGAGATAGTAAATCTTCTCTATTCGGAATTTGAAATGACATGTTTACAAGTTTATGAAGAAATGAACAAAGATCTTTGAAAACTAGTATATTTATATGCAAAATTTTCGTTTTGAAATTTAAAATTTACCGCGCAACTTTTCTACGCATTTCCCCCTAACCCTCCCCCTAAAATAGGCTCCACCTTTTCGTGGCGTTAGATACCCTTTACTACTCCTGTCGATAATACTCCATATCAAGAAATTTGATGAAATTATTAGGCAATCAACAGAATCGAGGAAAAATTGAGCTTTCAGTTGTCTGTAGGGACTCTTGTGTCTCACGAACCAGATCCATGCTTTAATTGAACTCATTAAATACTTGATACCTTTATGATTGATAGTGATTCCTTTTCAATATCGCCAAACACTGATTGAAACAGCTGTAAAAAGCAGGTTGACTTATTGAGTTGTCCGAGCCAAAATGGTGCAAGTTTGATCAAAGGTATTCCGAATAGAATTGTTCAGCTAACAAGAGTAATTATGCGAAATTTCATGTCGAAATCAACAGTAATTCAAAAGTTATCAGAAAATTACTGAAAAATCAAAAATCGAAAATTTCACCTCATTGATCGAGTCTGTAGACTAAACTTCATGTGATAGATGCATGAAATTGACACAAATTATTCGTCTTGATTTATTTCATCGAATGGTTTTTTAATTTCTTCAAAAAAATCAAACACTTTTATTTAATTATCAAAAAATATCCAAAGATTGAAAAAAGCTAGCGAGTTAGGGAAAACCCTTTGATTTTTTGGAATTTTCGCCAAAATAAAAATTTTTGACTTGGATTGTTCTAATTTATCAGCCAAACCATATAATTCTACTCTATTAATTGCAAAACAATTCTTAGATATTCAGGTATTACTGACCGAAAATTCATAAAAAAAGCCCCACCAAATCGAAATTAACAACAATCAAACCTCCGCCATTTTGGCCCGGACAACCTAATGATACAAAAAGTACAAACATAATTGATAAAATTGAAATCAAGACCAACCAAGATTCATAAATCAAATCTATCGAGGAACGGATTTATTCAGATCAACTCAATCAAAATGCTTACGAATTTGTTTTGAAATCTGCTAATTTTAAATCGCACAATTAGCTTTTTCCAGATCATGTACTTCAATCACATGTACCAAGAAAAATTGGAAAAATCATTTTACAAGCTTATGAATTGTTTCACAACGTAATATGACGATCTTGCTTTCGTCAGAACCAACACGTACATATGCATCGATGGTGCATAGTTTAGGAGGTGCCTGTGAACAAGAAAATGAATGAATATCAAATCTCAATAGTTTGTTCATTGTGTTTAAATGTATTTTAAATGATGTTAAAACTTACAGTATCGTTGATTCCACAAGCATCAGTGTACGGTTTGGATTTGTGAGAATAAGTTTTTCGTAAGATTACTTTAATCGTATAAGTAATTTTAGAATGGCGGAGTTTAGATCTAGCTTCTTTGATCTCGATCAGTTTATTGTAAAACTTACCATTTCCCTCTGCGTTGATTTTAGCAACGGCTTGGTTAGCTAACTTTATAACAGTTGAATCATCGACAGGGAGCGGTTTGTATTTTACAGGATGACTCTGAGCAAATACAGTTCCAAAAAGGCAGACAATTAAGATGAAGAATTTCATTCTTGAAACAATCTTCTTCTTGACAGGCAAATAAGAGTTGGTTTACTAATTGAAACTTGAAATAGATTTGAATATTAAATTGATAAACACTACTTCTAATAGACAAAAATTGGGAAAGAAAAAGATCTTGACATAGTTATCGACGTGATTTCTAGTCGATTTCACTTAGAAAACAGATGATCAAATTGAAACCAAACTTGTAGAAAGCGAAAAATTGAAATGAAAGGATTAAATTTCTTTGATTTAAATTTTGCTTTAACAATATTATGAAACTTGAACCTTGTATTCGAAAAAATAATATTGAAAAATACTTGAAAATAATATAATTTACATGACGATGAAATTTGTATGAAATTATCAGGCAATTAACAGAATCGAGAAAAGTGAGCTACAGTTCTAGAGACTCTTGTGACTCACTGACCAGATCCAGGCTTTAATTGAACTCATTACAATCTTTTACTTTTGAATTGCTCTGTTTTAACGAATGGAAAAATGCAAGGATTAGAGAAAATTTGAAACACTTCTTTACTTAATCTTTTAATTCTGTTTTTGTCAAAAGAAAAGGTAATTAACAAATGAAAAAGTCAACCTTTAAACATCAATTTGCAATTGGTACTTTCTGTACTCAAAGGTTAATGTATTTTACCATCTTGGAGTAATAATTGTTACAATCTTTCTCACCAATACACTGAGATGCTAACTCAACTCCATTATAAACTTCTTCAGCTGATTTTGGTTTGAACCGTTTTACATAATGCTTTAGTTGATTAAACATGTTCTCGATTGGATTGAGAAATGGCGAATAAGCAGGAAGAAAAATGAGCTCATGGTTAGTTTCTTTGATTAGTTCATCTACAGCACTAGCATGATGTGATCTCACCTTATCAATTACCAAAAAAATTTTATCGATTTTATCAGCTTCACTTTTGTCGAAAATTCTTTTAAATATGTGATAGAATCCATAGTGTTGTATGATTGTGGTTGACACTTATAGTAGTAGAGCTCATTGTATCGCATTGCCGCACAGATTGAGAAATTTCTTCCTTTAACAGCTCGAACTCTGACATTTGCTCTTTTTCCAATGCAAATTCGTCCATAATTGGTCCTACAATGAATTGCCACACCGCATTCATATAAAGAAGATCTTATCGCGATTTATATCCATATCAAGAAAACGAACAGCATAATCATAACGTTGTTGTATAACAGCAGAAGAGTTTTTTCTTTCAGGCACAATTGATACTCGTTTGAATGAGTAATGAATTATATCCAAATAGCGTGCTATTGATGTCAAAGATAAGTTTTTACCGAATTTCTCACTTACAAAATCACAAATTTCCTCCAGAGTTCTTTGACAATCTTGGTCAACGTAAATTCGAATGTTAAAGAAATTTTCTCTTTTGTGACTAAACAGATTAGCCCTGTAGGGCTTAGAAGGTTTAAACGGATTTGTATTTTTCCATTCGTTAAAAGCTAGCAATTCAAAAGTAAAAGACTGTAAATACTTGATATCTTTATGATTGATAGTAATTCTTATTTTTCAATATCACGAAAAACTAATAGAAACAGCTGTAAAAAGCTTGTTGACTTATTATATTACAAAAATTACAAACTTAATTAATCAAATTGGATTATCAAAAAAACGGGTTTATTCAGATCAACTCATCTACAATGCTTACGAATTTGTTTTGAAATCTGGTAATCTTAAATCGTAAATTTCGCCTTTCCAGATAATGTACTTCAATCACATGTAGGATATCAATTGGTTAACGTATACTTTAGTAATATTACTATGCAATATTACTATGCAATATTACATAGTAATATTGCATAGTGGTATATGAAAAGGTATACATTGGGGTATACGTTGGTATTGTATGTATGTATATATGTGGGATAGTTAAGCACAATATTAATGCAATAATGGATCAGAAACAAGGACAACAATAAAAACAGGGATCTACTAAACGTAATCAATGGACAACAATGAAATAGAAATTAATGGAAAGTTAAAGGAATATAAAGTCATTAATTAAGGAACTGATGAGAAGATCAGATCAACTTTTGATTAAGAAAATATTGTTATTATTATTACTCTATTTAGTTATTAAAACATTGAACCGATAATCTTACAATTGAAAATTGGTTTAAATTGATTGATATTATGGGCAGAAAACATGGCTGGTCTAATATCAAGAAGCTTGAAATCGTTTGTGAATATTTGGAAGGTGAAGCTATAAACTATTATTTAGATGTCTATGACAATTGTGATTGGCCAGAATTGAAGGGTAAAATGATCAAACGTTTTGGGGTAAAAACACACGAGCCAATAACAGAGTTTTTACACACGAAATATGATAAAGAGCTTGGAGTCGATGACTATTTTAATAAACGTAGACGTCTAGCTATGTTGGCTGGATTTACTGAAAAACAAGCAGTTGTAATGATGGTAGATGGTTTAGACGATAAAATGAAGATGTGCCTTGTTTCACATCATCCAGAGACTTACGATAGTTTCTATGTTATTGCTAAAAAAGCAGAAATGAATTTGAAAAAGATTGACCATGATTCAGTCAAAACAGAAAAAAAATGGAATCCTAATAGGACTAAACCATTTGAAAAGAAAGATGACAAGAAAAAATCAAAGGTAATGGGTCCATGTTTTACATGTGAAAAGAACGGTAAACTTAATCAATATCATTGGAATTGGGATTGTCCATCGAAGAAAGCAGTAAACGTCAATTATCAATCTTTTGAAGCAAAAGATGGTGATAAAGATGAGAGAAGAATCCTTTAAACTGATAGGCAGACCTGATAAATCAACTCACATTATCTACTGGTATATTGATGATGTCGCTGTCAAA